GGGGGGGGGGGGGGGGGGGGGGGGGGGGGGGGGGGGGGGGGGGGGGGGGGGATACGTGTGTGTCCCTCTACCGGCTGCCGGACGATGACAAAACCTCTTTTCATTATGCCGAAAAAGGCCATGCCCTCAGTCTGTCGTGGTCCTGCATAACTACATCCTGCCGTATGCATGAGGCGGAGAGATGGCACCCCCCCCCAGACCGATTTTCAATGCTGGCTTACTCGTCTAGCGAGCCTGCTCGTCAACACCCAAAGCGATGGTTTCGGAAACACATCGTTGTTGAGGGAAACGGGCTGGGAAGTCTTGGTTCGATGTTGTTACGTTGAGTTTTCATTATTTGACTGTAGGATAGGTTATCTTGTTGTTGCGACTATTATAATAGACGCCAGCAGAGCACCCTCCTCCGGCCGGTGTCAGGTCGTCTTCAATATTTCAAAATGAACACTTCTACACATCCCGCTGAGAGACGCCTTTCGAAGGAGGGTATTTTTTTCTTCGAAGTGGGGGCCCGCGGTTGAGGAATGTCGAGCTTGGGTCCAAGGTGTACACAGAGACTATTGTTTCGTCGCCGCCACCGTTCAGCGATTTTTATTTTTTTTCACCAAATACCGCAAGAGGCGGAGGGATGGCGGGCACTCCCTCAGGCCGAATTAATTTCCACAATAAAGTGGGTGCAGAACGAGCCCAACACGTCGACGGAAAGCCCTCAGCTCACTTTAAAGACTCCAGCACATCCCTATCGACTCGGTTTGTATCTCGAACGGGTAGTCTTTCTGTGAGATTGTGTCTAAAAAAAAAGGCCGCTGTTCATGTTTTCTTTAGTCTGTCCCGTTCAGGACTTCACCTGTATTTACAGGAAGTACATAAGGCAGAGGAGGGATCTTCCGTCATACTGTAGAAAAGACAGGACCAACACACATGGTGCCATTTTTTATGCACTAAATACGACAAGTACATAGCTGGTAGCCGAACCTCCCCCCCCGCAAGAACATGTCAGCTAACTGCTGTCATGTAAACTCACTCCGGGAATGCAACGACCCGCCTGAAAAATCCTGGGCTTGAAACTGAGACACTTGTATGCGTACACAGCCACATACCAAAATACAGAGTAGTATTTTGGTGTGTGTGCCTTCATCTGGCTGAGAATGGTGTTACTGTCGGCATAGAGACTGCGCTACCTTGGAAAATACGTCAGCAGTCTGCCCAGTGCGGCAAACAATGGTGTGCGTTGTGCGCGGTTGCGTTCGTCCCGTTTCTTGCTTCCGAAAACCGAATGAAGTTACTTGTTGTACGATACCTGCTGTCGTGCGGCACGCTGACCTTTTCTTATGACCCATGAGAGAATAGAACGAGACATGGATCTTCACAGGAGGACTGTTGGGGGGCGGCTACCTGGATAGAGCTTGCAGCACCGGTAAGGTCTACGACAACTCCCGCCTGGTTTTCCTGGGCGGGAAATAGTGCACCCGCCGTGGAAGTTGCTGGACTTTTGGCGTTCGTACCCCGGGCATGTGTGTGTGAAGAGGCGGGCACAAAAAACATGCCAACGGCGGAAGCAGTGTGTAGACTATAATAGAACCTAGAGAATCTGCTTGAAGACAGAGAAGCAAAACTCCTCCGCAACACACGGATGAGCCTCGCCTTCCCGCCACTACCATCACACTTGAACGTCGCGCTCACCTTTCGGTCTTCAGGGGGTCGTATCGTCGAGCCCGCTTTTCTCCGAGGTTCGCTTGAAGCACCCACTCCCGGCAGAGCGTCATCCACATGCTGGCGAGATATCGCACCTCTTTGTCCCGTACCCACGCTATGCCGCCGGGGCCTGGACGTCTCCATGTCCATAGAGGGAGGAGAGGGGGGTTCTGAAGCGAGGTCAGGGTGGAGGACTGCTACTGCTGTCTCCTGATCGCCCGCGACGATGACATTGCAGTGGCACTGATCCTTACCTGTAGTACCTGATCCGTTTTGGCGGGAGGGGGCACACGAAGTACACAGACTCCATAGATCAATACATGTATGTCACCCTGACTGATACGGCGGAGGCTCTCAACAATTCCCGCTGTGGTCTGGCGTTGTCAGTTATCTGTTGCTGCCGTCCACGGGCGTAGTGTCTGCTGTACAAGAGCAGCTCTTGGATACCTCCCTCAGCCGTAACAGAACTGCAGGATCTGTACTGCCGGTGCCGACTCACCCCTAGATGCGCGTCGCACACGCGTACCGTGCGACAGCAGCAGTTGTTGCGATGGCCATTCAAACACGAACAACAGCTGCACGTCGCTCGCCGCGCTTGGCAGCAGAGGTCAGGCGTCGACACGGCAGCAGCGGAGCTTTCAATGCAGGGGTGAGTGTGATCGAGGTAGATAGCAGTAGGTAGGTTGATGTGCTGCCAATAGAAGGTGATTGTTGTCCATGCGTCGCAGTCTTTTTTTGAAAAATAACTCGGTGGCTGTTTCGACGACATAAGATCACTGCTGTCCATAGGTAACGGCATACCGGGCGGTTCCGGCGTACAGATCTTGATTGGTACTTTGTGCAAGTAAACGTAGGTGTGCCAAGCACTCATAGGTGATGCGATGTTTGCATGATACATGCAGCCGTTGCCTCAATAGTAGGACTTAGCGACGGTACAACTTTCCAGCTGTACTGCATGTCACATAAGGTACCACTCCCCTATTCTGCACGTCTCGCAGCGTAGAAATATGTGAATCCGGACGTCGGGGGGCGTTGGAAAGATCGTGCGGATATTTTGTCGAAAATGCATCGGTCGGTCATGGTAAAGCCCTTCTTGGCTACCGAGAAAATTCTTTTTCAACAATCGAGGATGCGGTACCTATCCTACAACCGGCGGTGCTCGAGCTGGCTTCGGCGTAGTCAACTCGCAAGAATCACAAATGGCTATCATACCATACCGGCTTCGGTGTCGAGTTTCGCAAGAATCACCATAATCTGCTGAATGTGTAGAGTTTATACCCGTCTCTTTCGGTCGCGAGCAGAGAAAGAAATACGGTAGGCAGAGCAGCCGCACCTGTATGTCGGCAAGAGGGCAGTGGCGCGCGCCTTTGTTGACACCACGCATCCACCTCAACAACTAACAACGATCGTGCTTAATTTTTTTTTTTCTCCCATCATTGGACTCTGTCGTCTGCCCCTCTGGCCCCTATCCTCCACTGCTACCAGCTAGACGACCCAACCGGGGTCACATAGGAGGGGGGGGCTGGACCCCCTCCTGCGGTTCCTGCCTGAGGTATTTTTATCGCGAGAAGGGTACAGCAATCCCTTCCCTCGCGACTTACGAAGTCGATTATGGTTTACTAACAACCGAGCTTTGCAGCTCGTCGCTTTCATCCTAGACAGGATTTATTTAGTGAGAAAAAAACATGAGGATAGGGCGGCTCCTGAACGAACATGAACGCAAGCTGTTTGCCGCACGTGCTATCGTTATCCGAACCACTTTTTTCCCAGCCCTGTCCACCCCGCGAGCCATTGGGCGTCAGTAACCGACGCGCCATTGCCACCTCGGCGCGATCGAAATCATCCTCACCTCTCGCTGCTGGAGCGGAGAGCTCCGGCGCTGACGTCCGCCCGAAACGGCGAATAAGGCGGGTTTCCAAGCCGAAAGGCGTCACGGCCTCGGTCCAGAAAAAGACGAAGTCTACGCTGGGAAGGACGAGAGAGAATGTGAGAGTGCGCGCCTTGCCTGTTGTTTGCGTTGAAGCCCGAATGAGTGCTCTACGCGATAGAGGTGAAAATCCCACACGAAGGTGGGCACACCATGATGACGACGCTGATGGCACGAAAGTGGTCAGTAGCCACTGGGAACTATATGAAGTCTCGAGGCCTGAGCCGTTGACGTTGAGTCTCTGACATTCAAGTCAACATACACAGTGCGAAACCCCTTTGCGACCTGACCGTCGGAACGCATTAGGCCTAAAACGAGATTCATGTGTTACTCAGAGGGGGCCCCCGGTTTAACATGACCAGCGCCGACCACAAAATTTCGTCGACATGCTGTGGGAACAGTATCTTCCGCCGCCCCGCGCCGACTCCTGTTTCGTCTGTTTGTGGGATTTTCCGCCCCCGGCAACACAGAGGAAGCTCGCTGAGGGGTTCGACGCCGTGATTGGGTTGGACGAAGCAGGGAGAGGACCGTTTGCAGGTGCCACTTGGAGAGACAGACAGACAGACAGACAGACAGACAGACAGAGAGCAAGAGAGACAGAGACAGACGGACAGGCAGGCCTTTGGCCTTGATTTTTTATTACCTCGCTACATAAGTTGCTCTCGGTGATCCCGGGTCATTCGAGGGTTTATTTATACACCCTACACGCTATTTGAGGGTGTGAGGTGTTCCTCCACAGGGATTGGTCGAGTTTCACCCCACCAACACACGTTGTTTTCAACACCCACTAGATAGGCTTGGCTTGGCGGTGGCGACGGGCGTGGGTTTCGTGTTGAAACAAGGTTAGGGGAGTGTACATCAGAGATTGATTTGATCGAGACTGCTGGAGGGAGAGCCTAGATATTGCTCCCACTTTGGAATCGCCCATTGCTCAAACCACGCATCACCTACATTTTCTGCGCTTAGCGTCCAGTTTTTTATTCTCGATACCCCCCCCGTCCGCTCTTCCTTCGGGTGGAATTTCGTGACAGGGCCGGTTGTCGCAGCCGCGTGTATGATTCCCCCGGACGTGAACATCCTCGGCATACAGGACAGCAAGAAGGTGTGCGTGCCCACAACCCTAACCCACAACGTGGACCGCCTTGGCGAGATATTGCGTTTTTGAGGAAATATAACAGGGAGGGGATACATAACCCTAGCCTAACTTCCCCGATTGCATACTTTATCCAACATGTTAACTAAATCGAAGGCTGCCTACTGCACGAAGTCTGCACGACGTTCGTGCGGCTGCTGCGGCCACCGAACTGTCGGAAAGTGTTAGGTCCGTTGTTCTCCTCGTCGTCGCCGTTGCTGTTGCCCTTCTCACAAAAAAAACACCGTCCCCACCACGTACACGGACGGTCGGATTTTTGTTTCTTTGCCTGACTGCTGCCGCGGCAGATCACGCAGCACAGCGACCGGGAGACCCTGTTCAAGGAGTTGACGGAGACCCCGGGCGTCATCTGGGCCACGTCTGAGGTTGGAAGCAGCCGAATTGATGAGATCAACATCCTCGAGGCCACGAAAGAGGCCATGACGGTCAGTTTGGAGGCCACGGATGCCCACTATTTCTGTTCTCGAGGCCACCCAACCGGGGGTGCTAGGTCGTTTCTTGCGCTCGTCGTTCGTGCGGTCATTTGTTCTGCTGTCCCTTTGGTGTGTATTGGCATTGGGTGTGTTGTTGATTGGCCTCACAAAAATAAGCGGATATTTTGAGTGTTGAGTCTTCAGTCATTGCTACGACTAGCCTCTCGTCAGGTGTCCTTGTTTCCCCCGTCTTGCTTCTTGTAGCATGTTGGTGAAACACATTTTCTCCATACCCCAAAGCCCAAACCCGGGCACAATCCGTCGCTTGACGCTATCCCTGTTGCTTTTGGTGTGTATTCTCTGCCCCGTAAGCGGTTGACGACTGCCCTACCCAGGGAGACCAGTGAAACTATTTTGTAGCCACCTTTGGCAAAGTAGGAAGGAACGATTGGCCATCGGTGATCGTTCCTGTTGTAACATTGGTCCGTCCGCATGGTGAACGATCTAACCGGTAAGACATGCAAAACATGAGAGTACGCCCCCCCCCCCGCTCCACCCTAGGCGGTACATATGATGGTCACAATAGACCGTAGGTCACGTAATGCATCCCCTGGACCAACTTTCGACCTTGATTGCTCCACGGCGAAGAGGATGTTGTAACCAAATGATCCGAAAATTTATCGAAGAGACCCGCCTTTGTCCGACACCGCCACTCGTTCTACGCTTTGGATATATCGAGCTTTGAAAATCGCTCCAGGGGGCGTGATATCTTGTGTCACCTACGGTAGGACTGGGAATCGGGTGGTATTGGTGAAGTGTAGTTCATGGCGAATACACGAAAACCAATAGGATGAACAACCTCCCGAGGGCGTGATTCATGGCCGCGCATCCAGCGACCAAGGTACAAAATGAAAGACTCATATCTGCGGAGGAGATAAGTTGGTTGTGTCACAAGTAAGAAAATATAAAACAAAAAAAGATTTTGCCCACCCGTGCGCCCGCACTCCTCCTTCCGTTAACCTCGCGGCATCCCTCGGTCACACCCTCTTCGCCCGGTTAATATGCTTACGTAGAACTGCGTGCTTGAAGTGTGCTCCAAATCTGTGGAACCCAGCGCCAACAAGGGCATGAAGACAAACTGGAAGAAGAATGCCTCCGACAAGAAACCGTTTGTGCTGGTGGACGGGAACTTCACGCCCCCCGGGCTGGGGGATGCGAAGGTTGAAGCCGAGTGCGTCGTCGGCGGGGACGGGCTGGAGTACTGCATCGCCGCCGCGAGCATCATCGCAAAAGTCACGCGAGATCGGCTCATGGTGCGTGTGTGTGTTTGCATGTTCGTCCCATCTATTCTGGCGCCGGTTTACAGGCCTTTCGGCGTTATATATACCTGACGTATCAGCTGGGGTCTACAATAGGAAGGTCACACAGGAGCTTTTTCCATTTTTTTTTTTTTTTTGTTTGTTTGCTTCACCTTTCCCCCTGTGGTGTTTGCCTTAAATAGTTTTATCACGAAAAGGGTTCAGCCATCCCTTTCCCTCGTCGACCGTCAAGCCGAAGTTTTGATAGGCACATAAGAATCACCGCATTTTTGGGGTACCGGCAACGGTCGGATGCAGGTCCTACGCTGATGCGTGTGGTCTCCATCCAGCGCTGTGCCGGCTGTTGTGGATTGTTTCGTGGCTCTGGACACCACTCACAAGGCCTTTGGGGAGATTAGACGTGACTTTGTTCTCCAAAGGAGAACGCACAGCATTGCTATCGTCTGTATTGAAGAGAGAGGAAGAGAGAGAGAGAGAGAGAGAGAGAGAGAGAGAGAGAGAGAGAGAGAGCTATGAGCGTACCATAAACGAAAGGAGGCGACACGTTTGTGGGGAATGAGGGGCATTTTATGCTTGCCTTGGATAGCCGACCATTTGACCACGCATTATGTACTCTCGCACACCGGACATGCTCTAACTAGCCCTGCTTTCGTTTTTACCATGTACGTTGTTTAGCTGACTGGACTACGACGATGTTTCGCTCATCACACTCCCCTTCGTCACCATACTGTATCGATTGGCGTGAAGGGCGCGCGTTTGGTTTCTCTTCTGTCGCCGACAGAACGAAAAATACATCCTGGCGTTCCCAGCTTGCTCTTTTTCCAATCTCTCAGATCCCACAGCAGCGGAGAGCCCTGCCCTACGTTGATGGAGGTGGATGCTTCGCACCTTTCCTAACGAATCCAACCGCCATATGTAACAACGGACGTTTTACCTTTCCGTGCACCACAGATCGAGTTCGGGGAGCGCTGGCCAGTATTCGGGTTCGAGAGGCACAAGGGTTACGGCACGGCCGCCCATCGCGACGCCATTCGCGAGCACGGTATGGTAGAGATCCACCGCAGGAGCTTTCTAAAGAACATGGAGTCATCGGGGGGGAAATTGGCGGAGTACAAAGAGTAACTGGAGCGAGCCGGGGGTTAGTTAAGAATAGGTTAGGCAGGTAAAACCACGAGTGCAGAACCGGTCAACAAAGTGTGAGACGCAGTTCTAAGCCAAAAGGATAATGAAGAGTAGCGGCGCTACCGGTACGTTACTAGGTACGGCCCAAAGACTGCGCAATGTAAGCAAAGCATGACTTTCCAGATACCTGTGACATATCGTCATCGCTGGAACAGCGTGAGAGTGGTAGGGAATGGATGCACTATGCCGACAGGGTTGCTGAAAGGGGTTGAGACTATGTCACAGAATAGCTTGATAATGATCGGGAATCGATTCACTCCGACAGGGTCTCCAGAGTGAGGCTGTGACGCGGCAAGCGCACACTTGGTGTGGATGTATTTTTGAGGAAAGAGTATCTGCTTTGAGAAAATAGTCACGGTGGAGGATTTTTTTTTTTCGCGAAGACGTAAGCCTTTGCTTTCCACTCATCGTTCCATGTTCAAAAGGTGTTTTTGGTCTGTTCACGGCGACCGTGGGCCGGTTGAAGAATGGTTTGTGGGCTATATGTATGTTTAGCTGCGACGAGAAACCCGACTAGTCTAGCCCAGAAGTTGTAGGAATACTGTTTTTTTGCAGGTATTTGTACACCACAACTTCTGTCAAATGTGCTTTTCAGAACGGCAGTTTTTTTTAAGGCGTCGGCAAAACAAAGCGGTTTGTACTGAAAAATCCGAGTTGCCATGACGTTTATATTGGGGGTACGCGGGAAAAGTATGTGCGTAGTACGCCTCCACCTATGCGTGAGAAGGAGTTCTTCCACGGTAAGTTTTGTCCACACACAAGTCCTCGCGTGCCTAAGAAGCTATATAGCGCAGAAAACGAGCACGGTGGACACATGAAAAGTCGTCTGGTGGTTTACCAGACTCAGGAGTTGACAATGTGTTGATTATGTTCTCACCCCTCAACCTCGTAGTACTAAGAACGTGGGGAAAAGGAGAGGACCGACTTCACTTGCAATAGTGAGGCGAAAGGAGGGTACCTTGTTTGGGGTTTGGGCATCTGAGACCCACTGCGTTCTGTGAGGTTGGTTCCCATCACCGGAGGAAGAGAACGCTCGGTTGCTTTTTGGAAACAGGCAGAGGTCAGGTATTTATGGGCAGATGTGCAGAGGTAAGATAGAGGGGGCACAGAAGGTGTCTGCGGGAATCATGCTTTGCCAGGTTGGTACTCAGTCCTTCCTCGGAGTCTAGAAACATAACACTGAAACCAACCGAACAACGGTAGTGAAAGGCCCAAGATTCGGCAGACACTTCACCAAGAACGCACAGGTCAAGTACTACGTAGACAGTGCCATCAACGTCATTGTTCCAAGTGGTACCCAGGTTTGGGAAGATTTTCACGGCGTGAACGCTGCAGCCATGGGTATGGTCTCGACACCCAGTAGAGGAAGTCCGGGTGCGCGGCTTGCGGTTGACATAAATGCAGTACATAGCTCGGGGCATATCGTGCACATGGCGGCGGTGGCGCTTCTTTAGCACATGCGCACGTTCACAAGGGAGCGGCCATTCTCCTTCGCTTGTTCGCCGGAACCCCTTACTTGTGGCCCAAGTCGGGGCGAAACCAAGCGTAGAAAGGTTTGACAAACATAATTAATTCCCGCTCGGGCATGATGTACCGTAACGCAAACGCCGAAGCTGGACACCTCTTGTCCCTCCGAATGTGTCGCTGCATCACAAGGCAGGTCATGACACCCTGATGTTGTTCGAGACGTTCGAAAGAGAATAAGTGTTTGGGTGCATGGCGGGAATCGGAAAACAAGTCCCGTTTGTTCACTGTTCGCCCTTCCCCCTCGGCCATCGCCTCTCCACTCCGCCCATCCGTGTTAAACATCCAAAATCTGTCGAAGCAATCTCGAGAACGTCGATCGAATAAAAACGACCTGATTTTGTTGCAAGCAGGTCTCCGTAAGTCCGCTTGATAACACCAAGAAGAGTCTTTGGTACAATTGGCTCTCGTCATTGAGACCTACGCACCTTCGAGCCTGCCGCCCAACACACAAGAGCAAAAATCAACGACCGAAAACAATCACCACACGGGAACGATGCTCGAGTCTATCGTGAGCCGACGCCACTCACGTCCTCTAAAACAATTTCAAACAACGCCGCCAACGCCACACCGTGTCCCACACTTTGGCACAAATCGACGCCACAACTTGCTCCCCCCCGCCCCCCGCTCACCGTAGCCATGTGCGAGACAGGAAGCTGACAAATGGACCGAAACTGTTCCGATTTACGAGACAAGAAGCTGACAAGGGAACCAAAACTGCTGCCATGCGTCAATTGGCTTTCACGAGCGGTGGCAGCTCGACAAGTAAATAGTCAATCAAACTCATGTTGACCCCGACAGCAGAAACTTCAACGTTTGGGAGGGAGTCTCCGAGGGATGTCTCACAGAGGACGTAATGATGCCAAACAAGCGACATGTTGCTTCTGTGACTCTGCGGTTCGAGTCTGACAGCGCTACCGTCAGTCGATGCTACAAGCCCCCTCTGTCCCCCCCGCTGGTCCCGGCCCCCTCTAGCAGCTTGCCTATCGTCGTTCCCTCCAGGTGAGTGTTGGTAATCGTTTTGTACGTCCTAATGGAAGGCAAAGCACGGGGCGGGGGGGGGGG